CATGGAGTGGGAAATTTTTACCAATAATGCAATGAAGAATAAAAATGAAATCCATAATAAAGTATTATCATAGTGTTATTAAAAAAATGTAAATTTAAATGTCAATCCAAAGCAGAGCAGACAAAATTATAAAAAAATCTGAATAGCGGTTTTCATAAAGTAGGAAATTGATTTTTTTACAAATAATTTAATAAATTAATTTTCTATAGCTATGTCTTTAAAATGTGAAATACATCTGATCCATAGTTTTATAAAACTACAAGAACAAAAAATTCCCAGACAAACCAAAGTATACATGTAGCTGAAGGATCTACCAGAGTTGTATTAGAAAATGATTCATGACTTGGCATGTTTGTGGTATAATCAATTACATTGGATATGAACTCTTGTACAAATCTATTTGTGATCATGAGACCTTAGTAACAATGCCAACCTAATAAAGATGCTATAATTGGTAAAAGTTAATGCTTCTTTAACCTCTTATGGCTGAATAGGTCCTTTCTTCTTTTGTAAGACTTTCCACATCTTTCACAGGTGAACCTTTCTACATTGTCGTGAACATATTTAATATGATGTGTTAATGTATCTTTTGTTTTGAACTTTTTTGGACATTTTTCACATTGAAAAGTTGACATCTCTGGAGAGTGATGTGTCCGCATATGTCTACTTAAGTTTTTTTTGTGTTTGAATTCCTTCTGACATTCCCCGCATTTGCCTCCCACAGAATCACTGTGATGTTTAACGTGAGCCTCAAGCATCAGTTTAGAAGAAAACAATTTACCACATTGCTCACATTCGTGCGGTTTGACAATTTTTTCTTGTTTTGAAGTGCCAGGATGTTGACTTAAACTAATTCTTGTTTGACAACTCTGTTCCACTTGAGAGTTGGATGGGGTAGCCGAGGATCCCACATCAATCTGCATCAACTGTGCCACTTGTGAATGATCAATAGTTGCAGCAGGCTCCTGTAGATACAGATGGGATACACAAGATTATTAAATGTAACAAATGTGAAAATGTATATTTTTAGAAAGCTTATTTTTCAAATAATATGAAATCAATATTCCAACATAAAAATGGAACCGTGTAATCACGTGGTCATTGTGCAAACAAGGTGTTATTTTGCCAGATTTCATTAACAGCTATCAGAGAATATCAATGACAAAAATTACAGTCGTGGAGCAGCTGGGAGACGAGATCAACTCTCAAGACTAACCCAAATACCGATGTTTTCTTATGCGGGAAAAAAACAAACAAACCTAAAACACACTGTATCTCAGATTTACACAAAATGTATTACCCTCTTAAACCATCGCTACAATTGTTTTTTCTCTCGTTGAATGCATGCTTTATATATCCTTATAAGAGAATGTTAAAAAAAAGTAAATTTGATATTTTCTAAGAAAAAACCTCTACTACATCATTAAAATAAATTTTCCGAAGCTATAATCAGTGCCTGTAAGCACTTAATTTTAACAATTATGACTATTATTACATAAGAGTAAAACATGAAATTCATCACAAATAGCCTGTTCATTATATAAGAGAACAATACCTTTGCTCTGGGGGTATGTTATTATATCCATGTTTTCAATTGGCAATGAGAGAGAAGAAATGCGAAACTTTGTGAAGCATTTTTGATTGGTTCCAATAAAACCAATAAATCTGTATGTCTATGACATGATGTCCGGCATAATGAATATATAAAATTTGAACACAAACAGTCAAAGCATGCATTCATTAAAATTAAAAACAAAATGGCTGCCAGTCAGCCATTTTGATTTATCAGCACGAAAATGGTTGCCATCTTGAATCCGATCATGAAATAATTTGATGTTCATATGTATAATATTAAGTATGATGTATGTGTGAAGTTTGATGAGTGTAATTGGTTTAGGCATGTCTAAGATACAGGTCTGAAT